ACCTATTGGAAGCGTTAGATGCAAGCTAAAAGCCTGAGGGTGGAGAATACAGCTTGAACATACCACAACCTGGGGCCGGCCAGACGCAAAAGAAAGAGTTGTGCCAATTCTCAGGGTCGCAGCTCCGGTCTGCGAAGAAGATGCCGTGAATTTAATTGTCAAAGGCGAATTCACCGATTTGAAGAGAGCCATGGGGAAGGCAGAGACTTCAGAGCTGCCGACTGTGTAAGTGCCCGGGGACCAGGAAGACATGCGCTTGTCGGAGGGATGCATGCGGAGCTGGTTGGCCGCATTTCGGAAGCCGTTTGGTCTATAGGTAGTCAGTATCGGAACGGTCACGTAGACTGGAAAATGCACTTACGTTCCATCCCAATCTCCAATCTTGAACACTGTTGTTCCAGTCTTTACAGACCCGGAGATACTCTTCGACGTGGTTGATCCTGCAGTAACAGTCACCGACGAGGTGGCAACGGCGTATTCGCCCTGATAGTATACCATGGTGTAGGTGCCGGGCTTCATTGCGGGGGAGGTGAAAGCCCCGGCAGACGAAGTGTAGGTCCAGTACTGTGCGGCATCGTTTTTCCTATCTTTAATTTAGCTACGTGCTCATTCTGGTACGACCTGCATTGTACGTACCAGTGAATCACCCATTTGAAAGTCGAGTCAGCCCCGGATGCAGTACCCTTAACATAGCCTCTCTTAGATGTGGCAACGTAGCCCTTGATATCGAGGTCGGCAAAGAACGATGTGTCGAGGTTGGAACTGGGCGTACCGCTCCGGCTGAAAGTCATCGAATACGGGCCGTGCAAGCCCTGGCGGTAGGTCTCGGTTTGAACATGTCCGGAGTTCTATATAGAGTAAGATGCTGCTATTAGTTGAGTGATAGTGGTTACATACCATGTACCAGTATAGGCCAGTGTAAGAGCCAACATTGTTGGTGTTGATATCACTGGTATGTATTAGCGCGGATCAAATCATGTCAGCTGATGGGCTTACCGATGGAAAGGTCCGCCAGCGGATGTCTCGTATTGGTTTAGGATCATGCAGACGCGGTGTGCGCTTCCAGAGACACCTGTTTATGTTAGAAGGAATCGTATTAAAAACAGTAGAGGTATTATTACAGTGGATATTGTCATCGATAAACCGTTCGCTAGAGTAGAACTTGCTTCGCGTTTCTCCGTCAACCAAAAACTGATATGTGTTAGCTGTTTGTACCTGTTTGAAAAAAAAAAAAAATCCTTCAGGGGGAACTTACCACATCCTCTCCCTCAACAACAGAACCACCTCCGATATTGGACACATCACCGAATGGCTCTTCGTTGGGGAGCAGGTCTGCATTCAGGCGTGCGATATATCGAAGTTCTCCAATACTGGGTTCTGAAGAAAATCATGAGTATAGACACTACACTGGAGCACAAAGAACACTAACCCTCAGATGTGTATGTTGCCATGTGGATAGTCGAATCTCCCTTGTGGACAACATAATAATGCGTCAAAGTGGATGTTTCGCACGTCACCTTGATGTAGTCGCCTTATTCAATCAGCACAATTTCCGACAAACATCTTGTTTTTGAACCCACCACTCTCAGTCGCAGATACAGTTGCGCTACCAAGACCCGATCCGATATGAGAACCAGTCGACTGGTATTGGAGCTCAGATCCATAGTAATTGATGGAATTAATGTCGCAATTTTTCCGGTTGACAGTAAACTTGAGGGGGTTCGAAGATCCAGCATCGATTACATAGGAAGCATCGCTAGTAGTAATTCCGAAGGCTGCGGATGCCTGCTCAGCCAAAAGGGCTAGCGAAGCAATGGCCAGGGACTTGAAAAACATCATGTAGAGAAACTTGCTCGTGTCACACAACAGACGATGAAGGGCAGACAGGCACAATATATATAGGAGACTTTTGTCCGTTCATGCTGAAACGCTGCATGGTGGAAGGTGGAGATTTGGCAGCTAGCTAGACCCTCCGTTCCTGCATACTACTCCGTGAATTCGTTTATAGTTCCACCAATGCGTGGCGTTTCTGGCCCCTTGGCGGCTGGATGGTTTCCATTCCAGGAGCGGAGAGTCTGTAGACTCGACTCAAAAGCCCCATTGGCTGAGAATAGGCACGAGGTCGACTTCTGTGGGTGAAAATCCGCCGGCTGTACGGAGAACATAGCTCCTATAGCCTTGCCAAGAACCCCCCCAACCTCCGTGTGGGTCTCCGTGTGGGGTGGTGGTTGTTTCAATGCCACAGAGCGCCCGTACGATCGAAGAATCCGATCCCTAAAACATCTTGAGGTATGGATGGATATTTTCATCAAATTGGGTAAATTCCCCGATCACTCTAAACCTGATGGGATAATAGTCATTCCCGTGTCCGAAGCGTCGGACTATCCTTTCCCGAAATGCCGAAACTGGCCCCGGGACGTTGGATATTTTCTAGGTGATTAGCGCGTTTCAACCAACACGCCTAAATAGGGAAAGAAGAAGAGACTAACTTATGGTTCCCTCGTTAGATATTTATCTTAGGTTCTACAAACCGAAACTTAGGGGAAGAAGATACATGAACCATAATATAATTATAATAATTTGAAATAATTTGAAATTAGAAAACATGGTACTACATAGTATCATCGTCTGCTCGAGGAACAACTGATATTTGTAGGATGCCAAACACCGCACGCATAGTTAACAAAGAAAGGAGCGATCCCGAGATATTGGGTCATACAATATAGACTGTTACAAAAAAAGCCACAAATCACCAAAAAAATTACAATGCGGCACCTCCAAAGATATATGAATCCCAAATGGGAAAGCAATTACGAAGATGGATGGACTAGCTAGGTTGTTAAAACACGTTCGGAAGCACGGCTAATGGATGAGTGTAAGTTGATGTTAGAATAGAAGCACTAGGAAACAAACCACACTTACATGTCTTCCCTGAGGATATCTGCTCTGATATGGAGTCCAGCTCTACGGGAAGTCCCCACACTCGGTGCACGGCACAATTGGCTTCCTGGGACCTCCCCCTTGCTTTATGCATGCAGTTGTACCAGTGATTGAGGCGTCTGGAATTGCGGTTGCAAAAGCCATGCTGCATAGAGCGAGAATGCTACCAAGTTGGAAGTACTTCATTGTGTGTATGTGTGTGTGGAAGAAAAGTAGAACGTGGTGTGACCTTCAAAGACGGCAGTTCATCTCTTTATTTATATCCCCCGAGGCGAAATTGATCGCATGTCATAATAAGCACTAGATGTTTTCTTTCAGAGTTTTCTTTCGGAGTTTTCTTATTCAGATGAGAATTTTCTATTGAGTAACATTTATAGGTCGAGATCAGTGTTCTGTGAACTCCGATCTTCGCGAGAGTACGGGTTGATTGGATAAAAAAATCTCAAATCTATCCTACGTTGTGTTAACAAAGAACAATATCGCGTTGGTGGGCAGAAATCCAGCATGTATCCTTGAAAGGGCCTTGCGCTTTTTGACACCTTCCTGCCGAAAATGGGGCTCAATAGACTTAGCTGATAGACGCGGTGTTAAACGTGTCAATCACTTGTCTTGCGTCGGGCTGCTCTGTTTTCTACTTTGAGTTGAGATCTGGTTTTCTAATATGATCGAGGACCAAATTTTGATTTTCTTCTTTTGATCGGTGGAGCTCACTGGTTTGACTACACTTGACGGATATTCATTGGGCGTTCACTGCTGAATTTGATTGAAGCCGTAATTCCAGGAAATGTCTAATATGAAAATAAAGCCTGGTGAGACGCAAATTCTGTTAAATTATAATAAATGATTAGAAGATGAAGAGTTTCTAGAATTTCATACCACTAAATCGTACCACTCGTCGTCTGTCATACAACAGATTTCTATCATTATCCTTGTTTTCATGTTCATGCTTGTAATTGCGTAGTTTGGAATTCTGGAGTGTAGGGGCTCAGTGAGAGTTGCTACCATCCTTGTTCTCTTGTCTCTGCTTTCAGCTGGCCGCTCCAATTTTATATTCGATACTGTTGTTGTGACTTTCTATAGATTGCCTAAAGGCATACCTCAGCACTCGCAAATCAGCTTCATACCCAACCTTTTATACAAAAGAACCCAGACGTGCTTCTGCTGTTTCCAAGTTTTCTCTATATATTTTTATACAACTGTCAGAAGCTTATGTGTATGGAAATCTGACAGAAATCTGGGTGTGCAGCAATATAAATATGCATGAAAGATATGTGTTAGACAGAGATCTAGAAGGCTATTATGAAAAATAAGAGGCTCTGAAAAACTCTGTAGATGAGTGGAGAGGAAAGAAACTATATAAAATGCTAGAGACTAACGTACCGGGAGCAAACATGGAAGTCACTGACTTCCCGTATGTAATCACAATGTCAACCTTTGAAATTAGGGCCGCTACTTCTGATTGATCACATAGAAGCATTTAACCGCCCGCTAGGCCAAAAGATCGTAAGTATGGACCAATATATGCTGACTTCACTATATCCTGTAAGAATAGTCAGCCGATTATGTGTGTTTTTTTTTCCCTTTTTGGTACTCTTCTTTTATATCCTTTTAAGGTCTTTTCCTCGCCACCCATCACTCCTTAACAACTAGGGCTGACACATTAGAAAGACGATGGACAATATCCATGCACAGGCAACCTGATCATGTGACGTTTCGGATTACTCCCTGTGTCTCATTCCTTTCTAATGAACATTCCGGTCCCGCCTATACATCTGTTTGATCTCGCTTTGTATCTGTCTGAAGTCTGATTACATCAATTTATTGTTGGAGATTTTCATATTGGGGTGATGATAAGTGCTTGAAATCGCAAATAATATGGACATGACCTTGATCCTATAAGGGAGCAAAGAGAGAGAAGGGTCGATTTTCTACTATCAAACAGGAAACTACTTAACTAAGTAGCGGGATGAAGCTTGACAAACAAGGCATCTGGCAAATGACTATCTTAACAGACCTGTCCATCAAATCTGGCGTCTCTCAAGAGCAATTCCCTGATGCCCCTATTCTGGCGCCCGAAGGAGGCGAACGAGCCCAGAAATTTCCTCACGCCCTTGTCCGCGTTCCACGCCTTCTTTGACAATGTCGAGAAAACCCTGCAACAATCGACTGGATACACCGAGCTCCTTGGCAGTTTCGAAAATGTGCTTTGTGGAGTCAAGTTGGACCTCGATAGGAGACCCATTCTTCTCCGCGACGTACTCCTTATTCTGAACTTCTTCAGCAGTCCGTATAAGCCATTCTTCCATTTGCCCCAGGAGTGGAACAACAAAGCCACGTGCAAACTCCGTTTCGCTATGTCCGGCCGCACCAATCATAGCCAGGGCCTGCATGAAGCCAGAAAAGATGCCGCTGAGGATCGACAAAAGCGAACAATCATACAATGGTGCGGCCCCAACATCATCCAATAGCCAAAGTGTGATTCCAAGGGGTTGAAGCGTCAACTCCCATTTCTTGAAAGTCTCAGATGACCCGGCGAATATGGTCATTGCTCCCCCAGACCTGACTAGGCCCGGGGAGGCCATCACTGAGCCATGGAGGTAACCATCTGCCATGTAGTGCGAAATGGATTTCTCGGCAGTTTTTCGAACTTGCTGCGGCGAGCCATTGACAATATTGACAATTGTATGTCCGGAGATGTCACCAGCGGCAGCTAGGATATCCAGGACAATGTCGTCAGTGTTGACACACAGGATGCTGAGAGGACTGGAGCGAATACATTCAGTCGATGAAGAGGACTGAATAGCTCCCTGCTCGACAAGATCGGCGCCTTTGCTGGGAGTTCTGTTCCAAACGAAGGTTTTAAATCCCCGGGAAACAAAATTTGAAGCAATCGCGTGGCCCATTTGGCCAAGGCCAAGAATCGAGATAGATTTGGGTTCTGAGGTAGACATATTGAATTGAGCAGTTGATGTGATTTAAAGAGTCAAAGTCGCTAGCGGGTTAACTAGATATAAATACATGTTCCTGTAAGACTTAGTTATTGCGCTTTCCAATCCATAACGCTGCCTTGGTAAGCTAGATATGGAACGTCTATATTCATATAGAACTTGCTTATTATGCTTTCCAATCCATAACATTAACTTGGTAAGCGAGACATGCCAAACTCGCTTTGGCTCGGGGCCCGCGGGATCCGTAGATGCGCTTCATCTTGCAGCCGTTGCGCTGGACAAAAGTTGGACATTCGAACCGAGCAACTCAATGTAAACCTTATTATTAATATCAAATTCAACTTTGGAAGCTACTAGCAAGGAATCGTTAAATAGATATTTAGGTGTCAAGCCCGCGTTAGCTAAGCCGATATTTGATGTTGTATATACGATCGCTCACTAATTTGCCTGCGTTGTTATCGTGTTGGCAGATATGTTTAGTTATAATCTCGTATATGCTTTAGGAACAGATGCCTATGGACTCCGTAGGAACCTTATTTGGATGCAGCTTAATAAGACAATGGCGGATATCATTTCCATGACTATCATGAGAAAATGAAATGTGTTTTTATGTTTTACACAGTAATTTAGAGGTATAAAAGCAAGCTTGTCAAATTCCGTAACCTGTTACCTAAACGGTAATAAACTTCCGTGTCTGTGGGTCATTGGGAGAGATCTAGACATTACCGGCATGTTCTACGTCATGAACTGCCCACAGAAAGATCTCAAACAAATCCCTCAAGCCTCAGGATTTATTTCCGACTTAAGGCTTGAGACTCGTGCGTCCCCAGATGTTGAGTTCCTTGAAACAATATTTCACATATTTGAAAGATTTCGACTATGCTCTCACATGCCAAATTCTGGAGAAGCAGACATGATGCCGAAGAATTACCTTCACCAACCACCATCGTCCCATTCGCTGGACGTATTGGTGCCAATCAAGAGTTCGCAGTGGATAAAAACAACTGTACGCAGATAGAATTGTTGCAGAAGTTTCCTGACGCTGCTCCCTGGATTCCATTAAAGGATGCCCTATCTTTGCGACATATTCTACAGATAGAGCTATGGAAGGCCGCTGGTGTTGAAGCTATAGGTCCGTGAGCCATAACAAATACTCAAGTGAAATTAATATTCACAGCAATAGGAACGTGTTTGCTGGTATACTTGACCTGCTTTGTAGCTGTGGGCCTGAGTCAAACGGTGAAGTAAATTCTTTTTCAGCTCCCTTTATAACTGAGATTCTAATGGTGACACTGTGAAGCACCTTTGCGACCGGTGCACTTGTACCGAGCCTACTTGGTGCACTTACGGCGAGCCTAGTTCTTCCTTTGTTCATCTTCGCTACAGGCCCAGTTTCTGGGGCGCACCTAAACCCCACAATTACGATCGCCACATTCTTCGGGCGACTGGCGACGTTGCCACGATGCATTTTGTACGTCGGATTTCAGACTTTTGGAGGGGCCATGGCGGGTTTGCTGTTGAGAGCGAGCTTCGACACGAGATCTGTACGTCACCCCATTTGGACTGCGAAAAACTCATGCTCATGAATGTATCCAGTTCATCGTGCCAGGTTGCTATATTGATACTACGAAAGTCTCAGTGGGCAGCGCATTCGCCATAGAATTCACGACAGATTTCGCTTTGATCTTTCTCTCATTTGGTGTCGGTCTTGATCCTCGACAGCGCTCTGTATTCGGGCCAGCCTTAGGCCCTATCTTTGTTGGTATTGTTTTAGGAATGTGTACCTTTGTGACGGGATTTAGCCGTATTGGGTACACAGGGTTCTGTAAGTTTCTAAATTAACCCGGCAAAGCTTGGAATTCTAACAAGTTCAAAGCGGGAAACCCTGCACGGTGCTTCGGGGCGATGGTTGGATCGCATTTTGCTTCATATCATTGGATACACTGGATAGCACCGTTGAGTGCGTCTATCATTCACGGGATGCTATATCATTTTATTCCACCTTATTCTCGGAAGGGAACTCCAGATATGAGCGGGGAAACATCTTGAATCATGAGATTCGAGAAGGGCCATACGGTCTCATTTGGTGTGCACTAGAAGAATGGTAATTCAAATCGACAGGAACACTTATATTCATACTCTATACCACTCGAGGAAGGTAACCGTCCACAGGTAGTTCCTTCCAATCTTGGAATTTGATGAATGACTCTGCGCCCTTCCTTACTTGGAGCATGGGCACATGAGATGTGGAAAAAGGTCCAGAATCCAGGAGTTTCTTTATATGGATGGGAACCTTTGAGCAAATATAACTGAGATATGATATTTATCCCATCTATTGTGGTGTTATGTAGGAGTCCATACCTGGATGTTTGGAAACCCTTAGGAATATATAACCAATGAGCTACGGACTAAACTGGTCAATAAAAGAAAGGCGTGTCAGCTTTCCACGGAGTGATATTTATTTTATGGTCGATAGGGACGAGTAAGAACAAGAAGCAGAGTAGTACCTTATTAAACATTTATATACATATTGAGCCATTCCTATTATAATAATAATAGTCCCTTGGATGCTCACAGTCCCAAAATTCTTCGCATACCAACGTTCCCAACGACATAGCCTCCCCCTAATCTGAATGTCCCCGGACCCTCCAATTTTGTCTCATAGCGCCCCATCGCCATTTCTGTCAAGAACGACCCAAGGTGCTCCGTTGGAGAATGCATCGACTTCATGAGATGCCGTATACCGGGGCCAAGCACAGCCATACCGATATTCGAGACAATTCCAGTCATTCCAGCAGACGGAATATATGGCTTGATGGCGTCGTGTGTCACCGGATCAACGAATGCCGGCCTCACGCTATCGACCCGAAAAGTTGGCTTTATCTCTGATAACGTTCCGAGAAGCGTTTCAGTCTCGCCCTTTACTCTCGCAAAGATCGGTGAGAATCGCCCGGGATTCTGGGTGGCGCCTTCACCAGACACATGGATAAATCGGAAGAGATGGTTTGATGGCTTGATTGTGGAAAATGCATTTGCAGCTGCTAGGGTATAATCCTTGGTGATCTTGACGTATTGCCTGTTCATTGTTAATTTCGACATTCATGTAACAAAGGGGTCTCTCGTACTCTTTGGTGACATTGGTCTGGCTTGTCCCTAGGGCCCAAACACATCCATCCGCGTCTTTCAATTTATCGAGCAGCTCTGGCGTGTATGATTCAAAGTCTGTGTGGGTGATGACGTGGACACGTGGATCTTTTGCATCTTCCGCCATTCGCACAGGACTTCTGCTCAAGATTGAGATCTTGGACACTGCTGCGTTTTTGAGCATGGCGTCGAGCACTGAAGACCCAACTAGCCCGGTTGCTCCTGTGAGAATGAGATGCATTTTGGAAATTGTTAAATTGTTGGAATTAATGTAAAGAATGGATTAGGAGGAGGAGCTTCAATTATATACCTCTAATTCGTTTAGTCCGTTCCGAAGGGTTAAATCCGCAAAAAAGCAACTTTCGTTGATCCCTAGATGCTGACAGCTTGCTAACCACATACGGTTAGTGCATATAGTACTTTTGTGGGTATTTCAACGGTTTTCATTGGTTGGATTCAATGGGGCCCATTAGTTTAACCCCATTTGGACGAGAACGGAGATAAGAGGGTGGTTTACTATTATTGTCACCTCACCAATAACTACTCAACATTATCCCATAGTACATAGTAATTACACTTTCTGTCCACAAAGCAACAAATCAGTTATCACACCTAATGCCATTTGTGGCTAAATTTGAATGCAAATTTATGCTTCCCGATAGTACATTTAGTACAACTTCTTATTAACTTGAAGAAGCCCTTACTGACCATGATATTAAGCACTTAGTATACTAGGAGAACGACGCTATAGAGTTAACAGATGACTATTGACGAAAGTTCGTAGCACGACAGCTTTTTTGTAAGCTTGCTAGAGAAAAGCGACTTCTTAATTCACCATTCGAATAAGGTCCTTTCAAAATCTAGTATGGCGATTTTCAACCGGGAGATATACTACTTTCAAGTTGCTAGAGTAGTAGATAAACAGTTCATTTATATAGTACCAGTTGAGTTCTCTTATACGCCGCCTTGGTGGCCGCTTATTGAAAAATTCGAGTTTTGGCTAAATGGCATAGACAACTGGGGAAATATCCTTGATTATTGCCTGAAGATGTTTCTTAGGGTGGTAAGAGACTGTGAGGACATGGAGATTCAAAAATGTCACCTAAAAGAGAACCAATACCATACCTCTCTAGTCATATGCAACGGAGATAGGATAGCGGGCATTTCTAGATCGTACATGCAGCGTTAAATAGCTTTGCATTTGATGCAATATACTGGCGGAAATTGATCCGTTGTTTTTCACGGCTGCTCAAAGTCCCGAGACAGTTTGGAAAGAAAGGCTTGGCCTACTAGGTGAAAAGGAAGTATAGGAGATGAAGCAACTAGCTTCCGAGAAGCTAGAAGAGATGAAAGCCAGAATTCTGAAGTGAGATCTAGATGAGTATGCACTTGAAGCAATAGCCAAAGCGGATGGAGCCCACTAGACTGAGAGGAACGGAAAGAAGCACCCCGAGACCGAAGCTGATGTTAGCTGGCCAAATAAGCTATCACCTGATTGTCTAAATTGGATCGTGTGTTGTGTGAAGTAAACTAAGATGATTCTCGCGGATATCGGGAAGAAGTGTTAGAATTGTTGCGAAACGGAAGATCGGCCCAAATTGATGTTACCCCTAATTGGAAGGTATGCATCATAGCCACAGAGGTCACAAAATTTTTAATTTTTAATTTTTTCAACTGAATCAACACCTATATCCGTCGTCCTGCCACAACCTATCAATCTTGACGCCTTCTACAGTAGTAATGGCATCAGCGAGGACTCAAACATGTCGCCACGCAGAACAGTACTTTTTCAGTGGGGCCTGCCATAGTAGTAACCTCTGGAAACATATTTATTTACTATAACGAGACTGGGAGGGTGTATAACTCGCTAAATATTGGGTTAAAGGGTAATCTATGCGAAAAAGGTTAGTGGTAGTGGAATGGAACGCTCATCGAGCTCAGACGTGAGGAAATGAAAATAAAAACAAGACAGATCTTGAGCGATAAGTTGCTGATCGGAGAGATATTCAAGCCTGAGGCCTGGCAGATTTGAGGATGATCCGTTCAGGCGTGCTATGCTCAGATGCGAATGATCCCTGACGAGATAAACATGCTCCAAGCTTCTTAGCGTTAGTAGATGCTGGGTCCTAGCTCCGAGCTCCGAACTCCGACATTTCCAAGATTTAATCTAACGCTGACCGATAGCTATTATAAAAGCAACTTTGCCAGTAATGGTCTCCAGGAAAATCTCATTCAACATTAAAATGTGGAAGTTTTGGCTTGCTACCCTCGTTGGCGTGGGCCATGCCTCGCAAACCGTGCTCCGACCAGAGCCCGTGGCGTCAAATTTTACCACCTTCCGGAGTCCAAATTCACCCCATTCAGTGCGCATCCGACAACAAGATGAGTCTATATGTGCTGCGGGCTCTGCGCAGTATACTGGATGGCTAGATATTGGTCCGAAGCACCTGTTCTTCTGGTACTTCGAAAGTCAGAATGATCCCGCCGACCCACTAACGTTGTGGATGAATGGTGGGCCCGGAGGCTCTAGTTTGCTGGGCCTGTTCCAAGAAAATGGGCCATGTCTCATAAACGAGCATGGAAATGGGACCGTTCACAATCCATGGGGCTGGTCTCGAAACTCCTCATTACTTTTCGTTGACCAGCCAGCCGATGTGGGTTGGTCCTATATTGACGAGGGCTACGAGGTCGCGCGCGATTCTCACGAGGCCGCAGTTGACATGCACCGTTTTCTCCAAATCTTTGTATCTGAGATCTTCCCCCACACACGCTTCTCAGATTTGCATATCTCGGGTGAATCCTATGCAGTAAGACTTGCGCCTTGTCACTTTTTATACACCATACACCACTGACACTCTTAGGGCAAATACATCCCTTATCTCGGAGCTGAGATTGTCACCCACAACCAGCAATATCCCTCAGAGCCCCAGATCAACCTTAAGTCATGCCTGATAGGCAATGGCTTCATGTCATCCAAAGACATCACCTTCGGGTACTGGGAGACGCTTTGCACAACCAATCCCGGCGTTTCCACGCCCGTGTTCAATGAGACTCGGTGCGATATTATTGCTGCCAACATGCCGCGATGCATGGAACTCTACGATACTTGCGCCGGAAACCCCGACGTTGCAATTTGCACGGCTGCATATGCCGTCTGCTACAAAGGAATCGTTGGTTTGTACGAGGATGAGAGCAAGAAGGGAGGCCGTAACCGCTTCGACAGTAAGCTCTCCCTATCCACTATCAACGTGCCACTTCACCTAACGCAAAGAAATCAACAGTCACAGCCCCGTGTTATATTGATGATATATGCTACAAGGAAGCAGCTTATATCGAGCAGTATCTGAACTCGCCTGTGGTCCGCGAAGCCCTCTCGCCACCGGAAGGGATCAAGAAGTACGGATTTGAGTCCAGTGCCGTGGCAGACGCTTTTGCAACAACTCCGGAGGCAATGACGTCGTCATCAGACCATATCGTTTTCCTGCTTTCTCATGGAGTGGATTTTCTGGCCTACCAAGGAAATCTTGACCTAGCTTGCAACACGGCAGGAAACCTCCGATGGGCTAACTCGCTTGCCTGGAAGGGGCAGAGTGAGTTTACATCCAAGCCGCTGCTCCCTTGGACTTCAAACGTCGCGGGACGTATTAAAACGGTTGGCAACGCGAAAGAGGTGCGTGTGCAGTTGGACGGGCTGACAGAGAAATCACGGTTTGCATTTGTGACGGTTGATGGGGCGGGTCATATGGTGAGTTCATCGATGCAGATATGTTAATCCGAGCAGATGCTGATGGTTGTAACAGGTTCCTCAGGATCGCGGTGATGTAGCATTTGACATCTTGACCCGATGGATTGCGGGTGATTCCTTTGCATAGTCCTGGAATCATGCTCCAGGGAATTGATACCAGCGTTCTTGAAAGATGAAGTGGCCGCTATATCATATTTTAGCAAACTGATCAGGACGGATCATCATGCTCTTCGAAGCCCTTCGGTAACCAAAACATACAATATAATCACTATACTCAGTGCACATGGTGTTCTCCAAATTTGAACAAAGCACTTGTCACGTGGGCCGTGCACCTCTTCGTACCCAAATTTACAAGCCAGGCGTGTTGCTTATCAACAATCTTTTACGGAGCTTGTCTCCTTAGAAAGAACTAGCGATTATATTGCCCAAATAGAAATTTGGAAGACCATCCATCGGAACATTCCCGTCTGATGCGATCACGGTGCCAGTTAAAATGAAGGACATTTGCAAACATACGCCGATTGTCTATGCTGTTAAAGAGGGACATGCTGATGTCGTTGATGTTTTTCTTTGCAGCAAGAGGGTCTCGCCCAAGGCCGGGGATGGATATAAGGAGCTTCTCTTTCACGAAGCTGTCGAGGCGGAAAAGTGCGATGTCGTCCAGGCTAGACCTCAAGATAGCCCACAAATGGGCCCAAGCCCCTAGCCCACAGCCCATTTATAGGGGCCCATAAGGCCCCCATCAAAGCCCATTTCTATACATTAATATAGTCTTGGCACGTATAAAGTAGCTGATTAATGGCTATATTTTACGTAGTTATATACCAACCTGTATATTTAGTATTATTATATTATCATAGTAACAAGTAGGAATTAAGTAGATATTATACTTATTTTAGACTTATAATACTAGATTTTGTACAAAATCACCCTAAAAAGACCCAATTTGACACGTAGTCCACGAATTTGTACCTCGGAGGATTACTAAGTATCAATATGAAGAGATATATTACGATTGATCGGCCTAGACTGAGTTGTTTTAGAATCACCACCTTCTCTATAGTCAACGGTAATTTGAATACCCAAAAAAACCAGGAATATATATATTAATTATATAGCTACGATAAATTGGCATATTTGTATTGTTTGGTTTATAGGCCCCTATTAAACCTATGGGCTTTCATTCCGGGCCCATAGCCCATCGACGGGCCCGAAGCATAGGCCCAAAACCCAGCCCATTTGGTGGGATGGGTTGGGTTGGGCTGTGGGCCGGGTGGGCTTTCTTGAGGTCTACTAATAAGGATATTTCGATTATCGTAGTAGGGGAATCCTTACTTTTATTAATAGAAAATAATATCTCTGTATCGTATTGCTTTCCTAGTTTTAGGCTTATAAATTCGATAGATATAACTTTCCAAATTCGGGAGTGCGACTATGGGCAACCGTAGTGTGAGGCTGGATGCGTAGTCGCAATATCTACCCCTCTTTTTTTCCTTCCTTGGTCTTCATCTGTGTGCTTGGACTTGTTTAAGTTGAGTCTATCAGCCTACACTGAGAAACACCCACGACTGAGCCGCTCAAACCCATTTAACACCTAATCACAAATCTGTCTTCCAAAGACCTCGCGTTTTGATCTGCCTCTGGAGTAATCCTCTAGTATGTCTAATCCGAATAACTACACGGTCGGCTGGATCTGCGCTATAGATACCGAGTACGTTGCGGCGCAAGCTTTTCTCGACGAAAAGCATGAGGGAGCAGCATATGTGTCTCCTCATGATAACAACGATTATACATTAGGCAAACTTGGGGGACATAACGTTGTCATCGCCGTCTTGCCCGATGGGCAGTATGGCACATCCTCTGCAGCAATCGTTGCAAGGGACATGCTGCACAGCTTTCCTAATGTCAGAATTGGTCTGCTAGTCGGCATCGGTGGCGGTGCCCCAAGTCCGAAGCATGATATCCGTCTGGGTGATATTGTGGTCAGCGCTCCTCGCGATGGAAAGGGTGGCGTGCTCCAGTATGACTTCGGTAAAACCATACAAGATCAGAGGTTCCGACCAACAGGATTCTTGAACCAGCCCCCAATGGTCCTGCGGACGGCAGTGAATGGACTCAAAGCCCAGTATGAGCACGAAGGACATCAGCTTGAAGAGGCTATCAACAGCATTCTAGAGAAGAAGCTAAGACTACGGAAGAAGTATAAGCGGCCGGACCCAAGTAGCGACAGGCTATATCGAAGCGGTCTCACCCATCCTCTAGACGACGAAGCAAACTGTGCGGTGGCCTGTGGTGATGATCCATCAAACTTGATATTCCGGCATGCACGGACCGAAGGCGAGGATAATCCGGCAATTCACTATGGTCTGATTGCTTCGGCGAATCAGTTGATGAAGGACGCTTCAGCTCGGGATAGACTTGCTGCGGAAAAGGACGTTCTGTGTTTTGAAATGGAAGCGGCCGGGCTGATGAACCACTTCCCTTGTCTGGTGGTTCGCGGTATATGCGACTACTCGGATTCCCATAAGAGAAAGCAGTGGCAAGGATATGCAGCAATGGTGGCGGCTGCATATGCAAAAGATCTTCTCTATCGAATCCCCCAAAGCAGGGTTGAGGCTGAGGAGAGGATTGGTAATATTCTCTCCGGTCCGTTTACAGGCATCTGACGATCAGGTTATCAGCAATACTAACTCCTCACCATCATGACAGACTTCCAAGAAAGACTTATTGATGTGTCAAGAGATGTAGACAAACTTCTCTGTGGGAAACATGATCAAGAGCACCAAGCTATCCTTGACTGGATCTCAGCACCTGATCCATTAGCCAACTACCAGAAAGCGGTCCAACTATGCCAAGCCGACACTGGCATATGGTTCCTTGAGAGCGAAGAATACGCAAGTTGGAAGATATATCCAGCATCGTTTCTGTGGCTGCACGGGATTCCAGGATGCGGCAAAACCGTTCTGAGCTCTACTGTCATACGAAGTGTTCAACAACACTGTGCTAATGACCCTGGTAAAGTGGTTGCGTACTTCTACTTCGACTTCAATGACCCTCAGAAGCAGGTGGTGGAATTCATGATCAGATCCCTAATTGTTCAACTCTCTGAACAATGCATCAAAACACCTTCCGCACTGGACGCTCTATACTTATCCTGCGGAGACGGGAGGCAGCAACCATCTCTAGAAGGGCTTCTAGATGCGCTGCAAAGGGAAGTTGAAGAACTTCCTCAATGCTTTATCATTCTCGATGCCCTGGATGAGTGTACTGGTGCTGGAACTGATACTGGCAAAGAAGAACTTCTCCGTGTCCTTCAGACAATGGTCGGCTGGCAGTTCGAGAATCTTCACCTATTGGTCACAAGCAGAAGGGAGAGAGAGATTGAGGATGTCCTCGGCGGCTTTGTAGAAGAACACAACATCATTGGTCTGCGAAGTGAAATGGTGGACAAGGACATAAATATATACGTCCGTCAAAGGCTACGTGATGACAAGAAGTTGAGAAAGTGGCACAGAGACGTAAAGATGGGCCAAGAAATAGAAGCTACATTGATGGAAGGAGCTCGTGGGATGTATTGCAATTCTTTCCATCGCAGCGCAACAGAAGAGCTAATGTGGACGGCAGGTTTCGATGGGCTGTGTGCCAGCTTGACATGTTAAGCAAATGTCTTAATCGTGCAATGCTACGTAAAGCCTTGGCAGAGCTTCCACCGACGCTAGATGAGACATACGAGCGGATTCTTCACGCTATTGAGAAAGACTATTCAATATATGTGTTGAGGATTTTGCGATGGCTCGCATTTTCTGCCAGACCACTGCTCATGGAAGAGATCGTGGAAGTTGCTGCTATCGATCCTGGGGGAGATCCCATGTTCGACAAGGAAGAGTTATTTCAAGACTCAATGGATGTCACGAGGATATGTTCAAGCCTTGTCAGTGTGGTGAACGAACAGAGTACTTCGGAGTCCACTAGACAAGTTATTACGCTAGCACATTACTCTGTGAAGGAGTACCTCATCTCAGACCGCATTCAACAGGGCCAGGCAGCTCTGTATAGCTTAAAAAGTACCACTTCTCACGGCTTGATTGCAGAGAGCTGCCTTGGATACCTTCTCCAATTTCAAGACTCTGACTCGTTCTGCGAAGAAACCATTGAAACCTACGCATTGGCTGAGTATTCTGCAGAATTCTGGATGACTCATGTTCAATCTTCGGAACAAAAGGGAGAAGTACTGAACAGTCTCATCAGGGAGCTTTATTTGTCTCAAGATGGTGCCTATCTCAATTGGCTTCGAATACACAACCCACATAACCGCTGGCCCACGGGTAAAGCGACGGATGTCCAGAGGACGGTGGAAGACGTTGCATACCCGTTATACAGTGCTTCAGAAGCAGGTTTGACTGAACTAGTCAAGCACCTGATTACGAAGACCGGGGCAAATGTCAACGAGCAAGGCGGAGAGTACGGCAATGCACTTCAGGTTGCATCCGCAGGAGGCCATAGTGAGATTGTTGAACTACTGCTCCAAAAAGACGCTAAAGTCAACGCGCAGGGTGGGTTCTACGGAACGGCACTCCAGGCAGCATCAGCTGGAGGTCATGACAGGGTTGTGGAGTTGCTACTCAGCAGGGGCGCTGAGGTTAACTCACGAGGTGGATGGTACGGCAATGCGATCAAAGCAGCATCGGCTCATGGCCACAACAAAACCATTGAGCAATTGCTTAGCAAAGGCGCTGAGGTTAACGCGCGTGGTGGGATCTTTGGTAATGAGCTAGGCAGTATCTTCGCCAACGCCCTTCATGCGGCGTCAAGTGGAGGCTATGACAAGACTGTTGAGCTACTGCTTGAAAACGGCGCTGAGGTAAACGTGCAAGAGAGAGACGGTGGATCCCCTCTCGAGGCAGCATCATCGGGAGGTTATTGCAGAATTGTTGAGTTGGTACTGAGTAAGGGCGCTGAGGTCAACGCGCAAGGTGGCGACTACGGAACCGCACTCCAGGCAGCATCAGCTGGAGGTCATGACAAGATTGTTGAGCTGCTTCTTAGCAAGGGCGCTGAGGTGAACGCACAGGGTGGATATTATGGAACTCCACTCCAGGCAGCATCAGCTGGAGGTCATGACAAGATTGCTGAGCTGCTATTTAGTAAGGGCGCTGAGGTTAACGCGCAAGGTGGATGGTATGGTACTGCACTTCAGGCGGCATCAGCTGGAGGTCACGATAAGATCATTAAGTTGCTGCTCAGGGAGGGTGCTGAGGTCAACACGCAAGGCAGAGAGTACAAGAATGAGCACCAGACAACAGGCGGCTATGACCCGTTCTTAACCAAATGGGCCAGGTTCAATGTGCAGTTTGGGGTCTTTGGAACTGCGCTCCAGGCAGCATCAGCTGAAGGTCATAGCAGGACTATAGAGCTGCTCCTTGACCAGGGTGCCAACGTCAATGGACAGGGTGGCGTCTTTGGCACTGCGCTTCAGGCAGCATCAGCTCGAGGTCATGACAAGATTGTTGAGTTGCTACTTAGCAAGGGCACTGAGGTTAATATGCAAAGCGGATACTTTGGAACTGCACTCCAAGCGGCATCAGCTGGAGGTCATGATAAGATCATTGAGCTTCTATTTGGAAATGATGCGAAGGTCAACATGCAAGGTGGATGGTACGGAAATTCACTCCTGGCAGCAACAGCTGAAGGCCATCACAAGACTATTGAGTTGCTACTCAGTGAAGGTGCTGAGGTAAATGCACAAAACAACGCATCATTGGCGGAATCTGCTGAAGGCCATGGAATTTCCATGAAGGAGCTTATTAGCTTCAATCACAGGGCACACAAACAAGTCTTCAGCACTGCACTTCAGGCAGCATCAGCAGTTGGTTATGACAAGATCGTTGAGTTGCTACTTAGTCAAGGTGCTGAGGTCAACTGGCAAGGCGGAGTCTTTGGCACTGCGCTCCAGGCTGCATCACTTGGAGGTAATGAAAAGATTGTTGAGTTACTACTTAACAAGGGTGCCGAGGTTAATATACAAGGTGGAAAATATGGAGCTGCCCTCCAGGCGGCATCATCTGAAGGTCACGACAAGGTTGTTGAGTTGCTACTCAGCAAGGGTGCTGATATTAACATACAAGGTGGATGGTATGGCACTGCACTTCAAGCTGCATCAGCTGGTGGCTATGACAAGATTGTTGAACTGCTACTCAGTCAAGGTGCCGAGGTCAACTGGCAAGGCGGAGTCTTTGGCACTGCGCTCCAGGCTGCATCGGCTAAAGGCTATAGCAAGACCACCGAATTGTTTCACAGTATAAATGACATGGGTACTGTGACGAGTGAGGCATCAGCAAGATCCTATATTAGGATTGTGAAGCAACTCGTTAACAAAGGTGCCAAGGTCAACGAGCAGGGTGGAGTCTTTGGAAATGCACTTCAGGCAGCATCAGCTGAAGGCTGTGATAAGATCATTAAGCTGCTACTTGACAAGGGCGCTGAGGTAAATGCAACGGGTGGGTACTATGGCAATGCACTGCAGGCAGCATCGGTTGGAGGCTACAGAAAAATTGTCAAGTTGCTCCTTGATAAGGGTGCTGAGGTGAATGCACCTGGCGGAGAGTATGGAAATGCACTTCAGGCAGCATCGGTTAGAGGTAACAACAAGACTGTTGACTTGTTACTTAGTCATGGCGTTAAAGTCAATGCGCAAGGTGGATACTATGGAACTGCACTCCAAGCAGCATCGTCTGGAGGCTACGACAAGACTGCCGAGTTGCTTCTTAGCAACGGCGCTGAGGTGAATGCACCAGGCGGAGAGTATGGAAATGCACTCCAGGCAGCATCATCAAGAGGCTATAACAACACTGTTGAGTTTCTTCTTAGCAAGGGCGCTGAAGTCAACGCGCAAGGTGGATACTATGGAACTGCACTCCAGGCAGCATCGTCTGAAGGCTACGACAAGACTGCCGAGTTGCTTCTTAGCAAAGGCGCTGAGATGAACGTACAGGGTGGCTACTACGGAACCGCACTCCAGGCAGCATCAGCTGGAGGTCATGACAAGATTGTTGAGCTGCTTCTTAGCAAAGGCGCTGAGGTGAACGCACAGGGTGGATATTATGGAACTCCACTCCAGGCAGCATCAGCTGGAGGTCATGACAAGATTGCTGAGCTGCTTCTTAGCAAGGGCGCTGGGGTCAACTCGCAAGGTGGACAATATAGCAGCGCGCTCCAGGCGGCCTTAGCTGGTAGCTGTGATGATATAGCCGAAGTTCAACTGGGCAAAAATGCTGAGTTCAACGGTATGACTATGGTGCGGACCCGGGGCTTTAGAAAGATCATCAGGTTGCTCGGTGGTACGGGTGCTGAATCAGAATAATGATGTAGCTAGGACCGCTTTATGCACCAACCTGGATGAGAGCTGTCTGACACAGCGAGTCACAATGAAACAAGGGGCATAGCCAGGCAGATCTCATGAAGTGGCATCTGAGAAGGAAGCGGAATTGTAGCGGGTCAACATTAATCAAAGATAAAAACAAGTTATTCATAGCCTGCCACTGACGTTTAGTTTGGAGGTTTTACTGGCTGAGAATTTCGATTTGCTCCCAAGCTGCGAGTTACAGTCGCAGATGATGCCAAAAAAAAAGGCATCTCTAGCCCGTTGTTTCTCAAGGATGATAATCCACACGCTGTAGGGTTAATATTCCATGGGCCTTGGACAACGGGGATGGTGATGATGAATGCGATAGCCCAAAAGGACATTGCAGTTTCACCCCATCAGAAGCAAGGCAGCCTTTCTTTGACAGGTTATACGCCTAGATCACAGCGGATCTTGCCTCTACGCTGATAACACTCCTCTACTGGTAGATGCGCGTTATTTTATAGTAAGTAATTAAATACGTGATAAAAGGAAGAGGGGGGAAAGAGGGGGGGAGATAGTAGACGGGCACCGGTCCCGGAACGCCGTGAAGAAGAAAAACGAAGAAAATCGCGTGGAATCAACCTTCCATGTCAAATCAAGCCACGATGAAAATCCCTGGCGTGGACATTCCGGATCAACATTCCACAATTCCCGTTCCCAGACATGATTCTAGGAAGATTAGGAAAGATACCGAGACCATGATACCATGATAATGTGATGGATTGTGAATCGGCAGAGAGACGGGAAATCTAATTAAACAAGTAAAACATAACAATACTAAGCTCCGGTTATTGTTCGGAGTCCGGTTGACACGGTTGACACGGTTGACACGGTTGACCGTTGTTTTTCTGAATGACCAATGATCGACTTCAATTTCACACCCGGTTTCGGGATCCACCCCCAGGTACGGGGGGAGAGAGCCTCGCGTGGTGCCTGGTGTCTGGTGTCTGTTTTTGGGTAAAACCCAGATGCGGAAGTGTGTTGCTCATAGACAAGAAACTCAATTAGTGGAATTTGCTAAACATCCAAGATCTTAGGAGTTTGCTGAATCTGTCGACGATCGCATTCCGGCCGAATCGGGAAATGATAGTCCAATATGAGCTAGCGAGGAGTACTACATCACTAATGCAATGCACAGTTATTAGGCCGAAAGGTGTCGATAGCAAGAAAAACGAGGGGTAAATTGGGTAAATTGGGTAAATTGAGTAATTCGCCAATTAATTCAAGACACACACCTTAAGTTGTGCTCACTAGGTTACATTCAACTTGGACTCCCCAGAAATTAGACTCTGCAACCTCTTGGGCCCCGGTCATACAATCCCAACTACTGGCCGCACGCGATGGTCATGTCTCGGGTGTGCCTGCGTGATTCTATCCACTCCCCCCGGTGATCCTATCGGGTGCCCCGAATCCACAATCCATCTGTTCCACTGCAGCCTTGCCACAAACGCAACCATATTGTTCTTATCGTATTGTTCTCGGGGCCATAACCTAATGTACCCTGATTTGTCTTATCACTTCCTTAATGGCGATCTACCTCCGTAATGCATATATATTCCGGGACGGACCCATCAGTGGAGATAATCCAAAGCTGTTCTGTACCCGTGTGTCCTTGGCTGGGTTTTTGAGAGACCCCTTAAGGCACTGTCAACATGCATTTTTCGACTGTGGCTCGTGGGGCTGCAGTCCTGGCTGCGCTGTCGGGTACAGCTGCAGGATTTGTAACATCGCCATTCAAACGCGATTTGAAGCTTTCCGCCGAGCTGGGCATTCATCCGGATACCCTGCTCGGTCACAAGACTTCGGTGCAGGCTATTGCCAGTGGTCAGGTTGATGAGATTGTTAAGGCAGAATATGTTTCGGTATGTGTCGAAATTTTCTACGTTCGTCGAGGACGGAGATCAATGCTGACAATTTGTAGCTCCCCATTGACCACAGCAACTCTTCGGTTGGTCATTACCAGAACCGTTATTGGGTATCCGAAGAGAACTACAAGCAGGGCGGACCAGTCTTCGTGTATGATGTTGGTGAGGCAACTGCCGAATCGTCGGCTCAAGCCTATCTGGGAAACTCCACTACCTTCTTTTATCAGTTGGTGAAGGAATTCGGTGGAATTGGTATCGTTTGGGAGCACCGGTTTGTGCCCCCTCCTTGGTGAAATGCCCGGAATCAATTAACACCGATTAGATACTACGGGAAATCTCTTCCCTACAACGTCAGCCTACACATGAAGCCTGAGCATCTCCAGTACCTGAACAACAAACAAGCTCTGGCAGACATTCCATTCTTTGCCGCCAACTTCACTCGCGGAAATTATAGTGAGGTGGATCTGACCCCAAGTGGAACACCGTGGGTCATGATCGGAGGCTCATACTCCGGCATGCGATCTGCATTCACCCGTCATTTGTATCCCGATACAATTTACGCCTCATACGCTTCCTCCGCCCCCGTGGAAGCCCGGATCGACATGAGCGTTTATTTCGACCAGGTTTACGACGGCCTGGTTGCATATGGACACCTGAACTGCACCCGGGACATCCAGGCTGCACTGGAGTACGTCGACCAGCAACTGTCGCACAACGAATCGACCGCGGCGTCCATTAAGCAAGGATTCTTCGGCGAAGGCGCCGAAAAAAACAGCAATGGCGATTTTGCCGCCGCGATAGCGATTGTTTATAACTACTTCCAATCTTATGGCATGGGCGGTGGTGTGGGCAGTTTGGAGTCATTCTGTGAGCACATGGAGACTGACCCGAAGACCAGCGCAGCCGCACCCCCACAAGGATTCGCCCACACCCGAGGCAAGAAGTATGCCGCGGAGCGCTATGCGTCGTGGCCGGCTTTCACGCAACTGGTCAATATGAATTTAAACACCAACTGCAAGAAGCTTGAAGCCAGCGAGCCTCTCTCGTGCGATTTGTCCCAGCCCTCCTCTGACCCGGACACCATCAGCTGGACATGGCAGTACTGCACCCAATGGGGATTCTTCCAGACCAACAACTTCGGACGTCGCTCGCTGCTGTCAAAATACCAGACACTCGAGTATGCGCAGGAATACTGCAACAGGGCCTTCCCCGAGGCTATCAAGCAGGGTCTGTTCCCCAAACACCCACTTGTCGACGCGGCCAATGCGGAGACCGGCGGATGGACTATTCGTCCGTCTAATGTTTATTGGAGCGGTGGCCAATTTGATCCGTGGCGTACTTTGTCTCCCCTCGCAGAGGGGACTCGGTTAGCCCCGCAGGGTGTGTCCCTCACGACGGAGATCCCCAAATGCAATGTGGAGACAGAGGAAAATACGCTCTTTGGTTACATCATGCAGAAGGCGGAGCACTGCTTTGATTTCCGCACGAGCTTTGTACCTGGGGCCATTTCCCGGGGTTACTTCCACACTGCTCTGACAGAGTGGCTCGGTTGTTTCAAAGCCAAGACCCGTTAAACCTTGAAATAACTTTCGGAACCCTGAACCGTTCAAGGGATCGCCTTGGCCGGTCTCATTTGGATTCCTATGATTTGCCCATAGTGTTTAGCCCTATTCCCATTTTGTATCAGCTTGCGACCTTGCTTTGTCTCACGTGGGGCTCTACCGAGGCCATGAACATACAGCATTTTGCGAATTAGATTAATCCCATTTCACATATATAATTGCTTATTCTTTCAATTCATCGAGATCCATTCACACAAAATGTTGTTTAGTCCTATAGTTGTCCTGGTTGGTGCGCTTTCCGCAGCCTTCTTGGTGGTGCGCTACTTCGTACAGCTACATCACCACCGTACACAATCCAAAGCTCTACACTGCCAGCCTTCCCGCTCAGGTCCCTCGGCTTTCTTTGGCATTCCAGGTTTTATTCAGTTGTCCAAGGCTGTCCACGAAAAGCGCTGGATCGAACATATCCACGACGAATATTCTCTCTATGGAAATACTTACAAACAGACATTCCTCTCTCGCAATATTATAACCACGCGGGAGCCCGAAAATGTCAAGGCACTCCTGGCAACCCAATTCAAAGATTTCTCCCTTGGAACAAGACACCAACAATTCTACCCACTCCTGGGCGATGGCATCTTCACCCTCGATGGCGCCGGGTGGTCGCATGCGCGCGGATTACTGCGCCCGCAGTTCACCAGGGACCAGGTAAACTTTATCGGAGGGCTTATGCACGACACATGATTGACAGAAATGATAGGTCGCCGATATTTCCATGCTGGATGACCATATCTCCAACTTGATCGACCTAATCCCCAAGGACAGGAGCAGTTTCGACATCCAACGTTTATTTTTCCTGCTGACTCTGGACTCGGCAACGCATTTCCTATTCGGGGAATCGGTCGGGTGCATGCTTCCCCCTTCAGGAAAGACGGGCGTGCTGGAAAAATGTGCCGTCGGTAGCGCACAGGGCTTTGCCAATGCCTTCGGAACGGCTCAGGATTATCTCGCTGCACGGAGTCGCGCCCAGGGGATGTACTGGGTTGTCAATCCTAAGGAGTTCCGTGAAGCAAGTCGGCAGGTGCACGAAGTTGTCGACCATTATGTCAATTTCGCTCTAGAGTCGAAACGTAACCCCGAAAAGAAGAACGTTGACGGTCGGTATATCTTCCTCGAAGCACTGGCGGCCGACACCGATGACCCCAAGATTCTGCGCGATAACATGCTCAATATTTTATTGGCTGGTCGCGATACCACGGCTAGTCTTCTGAGCTCGACATTCTTCTACCTTGCCCGTCATCCTAATGTGTGGAACCGACTGCGTCGTGAGATCGTGGAAACCTTCGGAGACGCGAAGAACCCGCGGTCGGAAATGACTCAGACCAAGTTGAAGGACATTCCTTATCTGCGATATGTGTTGAATGAAGGCGAGTCGTTGCTCTGTATAGTGTATACTCTATCGATGGATATCCAACTAACTCCAGCACAGTCCTTCGTCTTCAGCCTCCCGTGCCTATCAACTTCCGCGTTGCAACCAAAGATACTTCCCTACCGGTCGGTGGTGGCGCGGACTACCAATCCCCGGTTTATGTCAAGAAGGGAACCATGATTACCTACAGCGTCTACGCTATGCACCGCCGGACAGATCTATGGGGGAAGGATGCGACTTCCTTCCGCCCCGAGCGCTGGGAGGAAAATGCTAAACATGGATGGGAATACCTGCCTTTCAATGGTGGGCCGCGCATCTGTCTTGGTCGTAAGTTGTTGCATGTTCTTGTCTTTCCCCAGAGAGACGAAATTGAAGAACACCCAGAATGACTAGCTGACTACCAATCCTCTAGAACAATATGCTCTCACTGAGGCAAGCTACACCGTCGTTCGTCTGATGCAGCACTTCGATACCCTCGAAAATGCGGACCTCCATCCTCGTAAGGAGCCTATCAAGCTAGCTAATCTGACGATGTCGCATGACCTTGGAGTGCCTATTCGCTTGTACTCTTCTGATAAGATTTAGGTTTCTTGGTTTCTGTTATGCTTGAATGTGTATATGGGTTTTGCAAGTGAATGAATGATACTAGTTTTTGATGCTTTGTGGTTCCGTCAGAATAATTTAGAACCCATCTTGCGTAGTTGTTTCAAATATGGTATACCCATCCATGCCTTGGATCGGATTCAGATTATTGCTGGATAAGTTGAACCAAGTCGAACCCATTCCTAGCCTCACTCATTCCGAGTCATTCGGTCGCATGGTCCAATGATATAGAGGATATGATTGAATATTTATCTACGCATCTCAAGGACCCATGAGCGTAGAGAGATTATATTGAGAGCCCTTTTACCAGTCTTCCTAGGCGTGCCTTTTTTTCTCTCTCCTCTTTGGTTGTAGTTAGAAGGATTATTGGAAATGCATAGCCGTAAACCGCAGATTAACGGTGAAAAGCATAGCTCTTGCAAAATAACTTTCCTATATTACGTTCGATTTTTGGAATAATACAATAGATAAATATATGATAGATCTATAGAGGCTGTTATGTTCAGTGATGTTAAGACAGTATTTCTGACTGGGGCACATGTAATCTGCTCCTCGCCTCTCCCTTTCCCGTTCTCACGGTCAACATCTCAACTCTTCGTGTTTACTTTCCCATCTCGCTTTCTCTACAAGTGATTTTCTGCCAATGTAACCTAGGCGACTGCTCGATCAAATACGTATCGGGCCCCCATTGCCACATTGCCGCTATCATGCCCTCGCTTGGTCGCACTTGTCACACTCCCAGCAAGTCCCAGATACGGACCCGTGAATATAAACGCTAGGCTCACTGGTGCCTGATGAGGCTTGGCAATGAGCTAGCCCCAAGCTAAAGCGGGGCTAGAGATTTAGTTATGTCATTAGCCCCCAACCTCTGTTGACTTTTCAACTTCTACAAACATTGTTCGAAAGTGGACATAAGTGTAATGTCCTCTCCACCAAACTCCGATGGAAATGATGCCATTGTGGTTGGCCTAGATGATGTTCGTGACTTCAATGTGGACAACATCCTTCCTCTCCCTCCCGCCGACATTGTTGCGATCAGGAAATGGCTTCAGCCAACCGCATATGACCTGGAGCGAAGTGAATACTCTAGACACCGTCTCTCATATCTTGCGGGAACGGGAAAGTGGCTCACCTCCACAACAACATTTCAACAGTGGCGCCAAGGCGACGAAGATGGGCTGTTGTGGGTCAAAGGTATCCCAGGCTCCGGCAAGTCTGTCCTAGCAGCTTCAATTATCAATCAGTTACAAAAGGATGGCATCCCAGTTATCTTTTTCTTTTTCAGGCAGATCATCGACGCCAACCATCAGCCGGTGTCTGCCCTGCGGGATTGGTTATGTCAACTTTTGGATTACAGCCCTGCTCTGCAAGTCAAGCTGAAGAGTTATATTGACAATCACCGTGATTTGGACAGCTTGTCCCCAACCGATCTCTGGAAAGACCTGAAGCTGGCACTAGCCACATTCCCCCAGGCCTACTGTGTCACGGACGCTTTGGATGAGATGGATCAGGGGAATGATGAGTTCCTCCACGCTTTGGTGGATTTGGGCCAGTGGCGCCCGTCTAATGTCAAGGTTTTCATCACGTCGCGCCCAGTATCAATAGTAGAAAATTCCTTGAGGTCATTCTCCATTCCCCAGATTCGATTGGAAGAGAAACTCGTCGATCTCGACATCGCAGCCTATGTACAATACAAACTTCGCCACTCATCGATCGCTCCTGAATCCTGGAGTGTCATAGAGGACGCCATTCCTGGTCGGGCGAATGGGCTCTTCTTGTATGCCAAGCTTTCAATGGATGCGTTTCTTGAGCCAGGTGCCGATGCAAATGAGGTGCTCAAGGTATTGCCAGCTGACTTGAACGTCATGTACAATAACCTGTTGCACGAACACGCAATACGCTCGGCTGTTCCCGAGGACTTGCAACTTCTTGTGTTGCAGTTTGTCACACATGCCACACGCCCACTCCGTATTCTTGAGATCGCTGAAATGGCGAAAAGCGTCCAAGTTCCAACTGCAGACCGCAGTCTGAAAGAGACAAAAGACTTGGTGCGGGCAGCTTGTGGCCCGTTGCTCGAAATTCTTCCCGATGAGACGGTCTCGGTCGTTCACCACTCATTCACCGAGTTCTTGAAAGGATTCACTCGTTCAAGCGAGTCGGACGATACGACATATCCGATCCTTCAACCGGGCTCGACAAACAAATGCCTGGCTATTGCGTGCTTGGGGTATCTCCGGTCTGGCTGCCTGGTTGATCACCAAATGAAGGAAACTATCGACAAATGGGAATACGTATACCCCAAAGATGACGATCAAAGAGAACTGAAGCTCCGGTTCCCGTTCCTAGAATATGCAGCACATAATTGGTACATTCACATTCGTCGCGCAGTCTCAGCGGGTGAAGATATGGCACTTGTCTACACTATGCTTGATGATTTCTTCGCGGAAAGTCGGATGTTCACCCGTTGGCGAGTTATGGCATGGCCGAAAGCTGCAACCCGGGGCATCACCGCGCTTCATGTCGCTGCGTGGGCTGGCTTGGCTGGATACGCCGCACACTTACTTGAAAAAGGAGACATTATAGAAGCGCGAGATGCTTCCGAAAATACAGCTTTATACTGGGCTGCCACTTCCGGCCACCACGACGTGGTACAGCTTTTGCTTGCCAACGGAGCTGACCCGAACGCAGAACACAAGGAAGGATACAACGCACTGCATATGGCAGCTAAAAAGAATCACGCTGCAGTAGCGAAACTTTTGCTCACTGCTGGCATTGACCCGCTCACCCCCAAGACGAAAGAGACACCTGGAAGGAGGTGTGGGAACGCACGCAGATCATGCGGAAATACACCCCTTATGTACGCATGTTATAATGGCCATGCGGAGACAGTTGCCGAGTTCCTACCTTTTTTGAAAAATATTCACACTTGTCACCAAGCCCTTTCCTGGGCGGCGAATGCGGGGCAATGTGCAGTGGTTGAGTTGATCATTCAACATCCAGGTGTTGATGTAAACGGGACATGCCAAGGACATACTGCTCTTTTTGCGGCCTGTTGTGGTGGCGGAGATGTAAACACCATTCGTGCATTGTTGCGAGCGGGAGCCGATCCAAACATATTGTGTGCACACGTAGGAAAGATGATTCCTAGGTCCCTGCGCAGCTCAAACAATCATGCGGGCCAAGATCCTACAAGGGGGAATACCGCTTTACATGCCATTTGTGGATCCGGCAAGATTGGAGGCACAGTCTCGTCAGCGGGCGTGGAGTCTCTGCTTCAGGCAGGGGCCAATGTTCATGTACGAAGTCCTACAGGCAAAACGGCCCTGCACTATGCCTGCGATTACCACAAAGCAGATGTGGTCAAGATGTTACTCGAAGCTGGTGCAGATCCTATGGCAGAAGATGATTCTGGGGCTACACCATTACACACAGAAGGACAGAGAGATGAAGAACTGCTTCCTGTGCTTTTGGGCACAGGGGCAGTCGATATCAACAAGGCCATTGGCAAAACTAAAAGGACTCCATTATTATTTCGGCTTCAGGGCTTTAATATGGACCGAGTACTTGCTTTCTTGGAGTATAAGCCTGATGTCAATATCGCTGACAACTCGGGCAATGGTCCGCTACACAAGGTTCTCGCACACTATGAGACTCATGGCAGTGTTATAGATGCCTTGCTATCTCTAGGCGCCAATCCAAATGCGATGAACAACGAAGGAAATACCCCGTTGCACACCATGAATGGTAAAAATAGCCTGTTCATTTCCAAGCTCGTTGATGCCGGTGCAGACCTAGAAGCTCGAAATCACGATGGCTATACAGTTCTTTTCAAACATGCCAATGAAGGGCCCTTTCAGACATTGATTGATCTAGGCGCTTGCCTCGATACGCGGGACTCTACTGGCCGAACTCTGTTGCATCGATGTTGTACTAACACCGATCGCTTGGACTATCTGATAAGTCTCGGCCTTGATCCTTTAGCCACAGATCACCAAGGCAACTCGCTTTTGATGGAGGTTGCCGCTACCAGCAATTACAAACAGACCGCTATTATGAGGCATCTGGTAGGACTAGGTTTGGACATAGATCAAGCAAACCATTGTGGGAGGACCGCCCTGCATGTCCTGTGTGCTGGCGTCAAACTTTCATCCTCGTCAGAAGAAGAGAATAGCCTGGATTATTTGCTTGGAGTCTGCAAGAGCGTTAATTCTAGTGATTGTCACGGTGTTCAGCCGTTGCACCTCGCCGCTACAATATCTGAGTCCCACGTTCTGAAGCTTCTCAGTGCCGGTGCAGACATGTTCAAAGTAACAAATGAAGGAATGTCAGTGCTCCATATAGCAGCCCGCACCCGCCAGCCCAATATCGTGGCTCTCTTCTGCTCTAGACTTACAGCACTTGAAGCGAAAGATCGAATTGCATTTGTGAACCAACAGAACACCGGAGGGGAAACAGCCCTTCACTATGCTTGCCGTTCAGGTCGCCCTGAGACTGTCCAACAATTACTCGACGCTGGTGCCCATTCCACCATATTGGACAGCGGAGATCGTTCACCTTTCAGAGCATGTGCGCAGTTTGAGGCAGAAGAACAACTATGGAGCGGTCGTAGGAAGATAACGCGGACGTATTACCTTCATGCAGCGGGCGTTCTGATCAGCGATCACCAACGGCCGTTCTTTGATCCCCCCGATAGGGATGAGGATTATGGCGTACAGGATACGGAGCATGATACAGTTCGTCTAGATGAGATTCTGGATTTACTTGTTCGCCATGAAGCTCTCTTGCCCGGTAAGGATTGTCTTCAAAAGACGTTTAATGAGGCTATTTCGAATGGGTACGAATACACTCTGGATGCTCTCTCACGGCTGCAATCTCGCCTTCCCGACGTGAAACCATATCACCCCTATGGGCTCAGCTATCTCATTTGCAAAGGCCGTCTGGATGCAACGAAACAAGCGTTTAGAGAGTACGACGGACAGGTCTCTACAGTCTTCACTGGGCATGCTTACGCCGCCTTTATGACAAAGTTAATGTTTGCCAGGCAGTACGACTTGTTTGAAGAGGGAACAGAAAAGAAGCTTAGTGTATCCCAACTCAGTCACTCCGATGGCTCTTTAATGCATCGTCTTGTAGGCTGGGGATATAAAGAGCTGCTGGAACGTGTTTGTGATAAGGATGCTGCACTGAGGTTTGATGATCACAAATGGTGCCAAGAGGCAGAAACGGAACAAAATTGCACTGGAGAACCTACGCAGCCTCTACTGGTGACTGCATGTGATCGCAATTTGCCCAACATGGATGTGGTAGAATTCCTTGTTGAGAAGGTCGGCGTCAACCTCAATGCTCAATTCAGGAAGAGCTCGGTATGGGAGGAGACCAAAACGGCCGGAGGAGTTCTTCATAAGCTCGTACTCGGGCACAGCTGGTGGCAGGTTTACAAAGCATTGCCGTATTTGATCAAAAAGGGAGCAGACCTTGAACTGCGTAGTGAGGTTGGAGTGACACCATTACAAGCAGCCATGAATCCTCAACATGGTTCCTTCCGCAAAGATGCCGTTGAGATTCTCATCGAGTGCGGCGCAGATGTCAATGCCGTGGATGACAAAGGAGAGACATGTTTGTCAAAAGCCGGTAATGATCTAGAGATGACCCGGCTACTCATAGATCACGGCGCCCATATTAGCGCAGCAGCCATTTTTTCTGCGATTGCAATGGGCGAAATTGAGGTATTGGAAACATTGCTGTCCCGGGGTGATTACGCAAATCTCAGGCGACCTGAGCCAGTTACTCCTCGGGAAGAAAGCGAACTCAAGCTCAATATTCTTGATTCCGAAGTCTCGCCTCTTCTCTTTGTCGCTATCCCTGATCTGCGATCCAGCAAGTATAACTATAACAAGCCACCATCCCGTTCGAAAGATGTGGATGAGAATTTACTCGACGCCCGTATCATGACAATACTACTCAATCACGGCGCAGATCCATTTGCCACATATGTCGGGGAGCTCTCATGTCCTGGATACGCCATGGAGGAACCAGGCTCAGACCTGGATGAGCCTAATATCTCGCACCCGCAGATTGAACCCCAAAGACACACTATCATCCATGAAATTCTGAAATCGGAGCACATAAGTGGGCCATTCTTTCAATTACCATTGTTAGAGCTTGAGCGACGGGATTCAAGCGGTTGCACATTACTTCTTGCAGCTTCCCAGAGCCAGAAAACCCTGAACACCAGAGTGGATTCTATTGGAGCTGGGACAACCATTACAAAAACCATTTTCCAAGAGCTCATAGATCGCGGTGCAAATGCCATGGCACAGGATAACGATGGCAATACCATCCTCCACCATCTGGAATCCTTCAGGGCTGACTCAGAGTTGTTCAAAACTCTCAAGGAAGTTATGATAAAGAATCCAAGTCTTCTCAATCTGCCAAATAAGAAAGGTGAAACATTCTTCCACCGCATCCTGATTTTAGAAGACTTCGATCTTATTGATGATCTTCTCGAACTGGGTGCTGATCCTCTCCAGCCAGACTCAAATGGAAACACGGCGCTTCATCATTTGGCTGAGCACCTCGGCGAGTCCCAGAGTCACTTCAAGCGGTTCCTAGAAGCGGGCGTGGATATCAACTCTCGCAACAACCAGGGCGACACACCTCTCTTCAAATATATCGATAATGGCGTGGTATCCCCCAGGAGGTACTGGGATGATGGTTCTTATGAAAAGGAAGATGACCTCGCCGAAGCCATCTTCAACCTCTTCGACGAGGCTGGAGCTGACTTCTTCGCACAAAACAATGCAGGCTCCACATTGCTTCATTTGTTAGCCTCTAAGAAGATAGGTAACTGGCGTGCTGAGGAATCCTCTCACGATGTGGTCCAGCGATTCCAGATTCTGATGGATCGGGGACTTGATCCGTTGGCCGAGGATGCACGCCAGCGGACCAGTTTGGATGTTGCTGCTGTTTGTGGTAGTGACCATATCATGCAATTATTCGCACGAAAGCCGATGGAGTAAAATAAGATTTGGGGGGAGGGGGTCGCATTGTACGGATAGAAATACTAGTTGAGACTAGAAAGATAATCGAGAAATGACAGCGGAGTCTTGAACCTACCTTCCAGCCTAAGGCGGATAGGCTCCTTCCCTTGGTCCTCTCATTCTTTCTCTCTCCCAATAAAGCTCAAATCCTTCTCTTTTCCATGTGGATCGGGGTCTAGTAGGTAGGTCCCTACAAATGAGCGTCCAGTCGCTCTGCCCATATCGTATACATGTTCGTACCTAGTAACAGCGATTATGACGGACAAGGGGGTAGAGAGTTTGGTGCCAGCTAGGCCAGTTAGATAAACAATTAGTGTAATCTTGTAGAAGCGAATGCTACAGGGATCAGGGCCCGCGGTCACATGTTGCGGGACTCTACGGTTCTCTTTGTTAGAATTCTCGTAAGGGCGGCTATTCATCCACCCCTTATCATATATCATAGCCACCCTCGGATTCGAGTAGCACATTCGTTGAATCAGCAATGGAGAAATACGCCATTCCTATTGAGAAGGCTGTCGAACTGACGCCAGTGTCTTCGGAACCGGTACGCCCCTTTCTTTGATTTCTTTTGCTTTTTACTTGGTCATCTGTCTCTCTAAAGTAGTTGATTTCTTCAGGATAAATTCATTAACGCTCAACCGCTGTGGAGCTTCGCGGGCGGCTATGGAGTCTTCGGCGGATCAACTGTTGCCCATTGTCTTGTGGCCGCTCAAAAGACCATCCCGAGCGACTACATCGCCCACTCTCTCCACTGCAGCTTCGTCAGCCCCGGCAATCCAAAGCGACCGATTGAATATCGTGTTGAACGTACACGCGATGGGAAAAGTTTCATCACGAGGACTGTCCAAGCCACCCAGAAGGCCGGTATAATCTCTGAGGCAATCGTTAACTTTGTGCGGGTGGGAACGTACAGTAGTGACGGTGACATTGGCAAAGCAAGGAGACTCGAACATGGGAGAAAAATGCCCAAGGGCTTGACACTACCCGATCAAGCAGAGATGAATGGGAAGGGGGTAGATGGGCCGTTCGAGGCTCGCTGGGGAGAAATCCTGAATCGTAAGTTTTTTTTTTTTTTCCTGATCCTAACTGTGATTGAAGCTTGTCTTCTTCTTCTTTTTTTTTTGGTTTTTAAGACTAAGATAATAAATAGAAATATCTCACGACCTGGTCAACACTCAGGTCCGATACTGGATACGGGCCAAAAACCCCATCCAGCAAAGGAGTCCTCAGGCCCATCTCGCGGCGCTGGCATATATGTCCGACGCATATTTCATTGGCGCCGCAGTTCAAGTACACGACCTGCCGGGTCAAACGTTCGGGACTAAAATGGCCATGGCAGCTAGTCTGAATCATACAATTTACTTCCACCACCCCGAAGCGGTACGGGCGGATGAGTGGATGTGTTCCGAAAGAGAGAGCCCGTGGGCTGGCAATGATCGTGCGCTAGTGATTCAGAGGATCTGGTCTCCTAAGGGGATCTTAGTGGCCACATGTGTCCAAGAGGTATTCATTTCTTCTACCTTCTCTTCCCCTATAGACTGCCTACGTTGCTTGTGCCGTTTACGCTGGATTGCTGACCAGTCCGTACCCAGGGAGTATTGCGTGTCCAAGTGCCCCCCGGGAAGGTAAAACTGTGAAAGTTCCGTCTCCGGTTGACGGAGCGATAGACGACATCCTCAATTCTAGTCCTAAGAAAACAAGCTGCTCTAGTATGGAACGATGCGTAAAGGAATGAAGAATACCTACTGTTTCTATCCATGAAAAAGGTACTTTTGAGACAACACAGTGGTATATGCGACTGCTTAAGATTCCTACATAATCCTATACCAAACCTTGGAAAGCCTCTCAATCCGTGTCAATGTTATCCACTCCCTAGTTATCTTCTTTACCTTATTTGCTGTCAGTCTTCCAAGTGGATAATGGACTCAACATTGACCGAAATACCGCATCCTGCGAGACAGATGAGGAAGGTGCAATGTTACCTGTATAGGTATGCGGGTACGTAAGAGTTTGGGATCTTTTCACCCCCCGAGGCCACTGTGACAGGGTTATTATTGCCTTGTTTACAAAGTGCTGAGAAAGTGGAATCAAAAATGTCCAAATGAGTTCCCACGCTGGAACTTCGGAACATTTCATACCTGTCATGGGCATATCATCACCAGTTGTAATGCGACGTGGTTGACGCACCTAAGCATTGTGGGTGCTAGCTACATGCAAGTATCTCCTAACTCCTAACAGTGGAGAAGCTCGGGCTTTATTGATCCCCCAGATGCGCACTTAGGCTAACATTCATTTGTACCTGGTTGTACTTGGTTGTACCTGATTTGAAGAATCTCCTAATCTTTACCACTTTTGTTTCCATCAATCCCTTAAACTGAAACATTCAAAATTGAGTAGAATCATAGAGAATTCATAGAACCTTGTACTCCATGCTTTGTTTATATCGGCGAAATTGTCAGCCGGGGTTTCCCCGCGGTTTTACCGTCGGGTCACGGAAACTGCCGACTACATCCAAAGAGGAAATGAACAACGCAACTCGATCCATATTGATTAAGAAGCTATTTTCATTGGCTGCTGTCTTCATCTAATCTCGGTCAATTTATCTTGGACATGTCCGACATATAAAAGTCTGGATATCCCGGGGAAAGCTCCAGGAGCGATCCAAGATCTACACCATGAAGCTCTCAAGTGTAATGACCGTGGGTTTGGCAAACCGGGCACTGGCTGCCAATCCTCCGGCCTCCCCAATTGACTACAACTCGGCTCCACCAAACCTTTCTACCTTGGCGAATGCAACCCTGTTCGACACCTGGAGACCCAAGGCCCATCTGCTCCCTCCCTCTGGGAAGATCGGCGACCCGTGTGCGCATTACACCGACCCTAAGACTGGCCTCTTCCATGTGGGCTGGCTGCACGACGGGATTGCAGGAGCTACGACCGATGATCTCGCTACCTACAAGGATCTCAATCCTGATGGAGCTCCGGTGATTGTCGCCGGAGGAAAGAACGACCCTCTTGCTGTCTTTGACGGCTCCGTCATTCCCAGCGGTATCAACGGCTTGCCAACCCTGCTGTATACCTCTGTCTCGTATCTCCCAATTCATTGGTCCATCCCCTACACCCGGGGAAGCGAGACACAATCCCTGGCTATCTCCCATGATGGTGGACGCAACTTCACTAAGGTTAATCAAGGCCCCGTGATCCCCACACCTCCCTTTGCCGTCAATGTCACCGCTTTCCGTGACCCCTACGCTTTCCAAAGCTCTATTCTGGACAAATCTGTCAACAGTACTAAAGGAACCTGGTATGTCGCCATCTCTGGCGGTGTCCACAATGTCGGACCTACCCAGTTCCTCTACCGTCAGCATGACGCAGACTTCCAATACTGGGAATATCTCGGCCAGTGGTGGAATGAGCCCGTCAACACAACTTGGGGCAAGGGCGACTGGGCCGGCGGCTGGGGCTTCAACTTTGAGGTTGGCAATGTCTTCGGTCTGAATGCAGATGGATACAGCGAGGATGGTGAAATCTTCATTACCCTCGGTACTGAGGGTTCCGGACTCCCCATCGTTCCCCAAGTCTCTTCCATCCACGATATGCTGTGGGTGACCGGAAATGTCACTAATGACGACTCCGTCACCTTTAAGCCGACCATGGCCGGTGTGCTTGACTGGGGTCTGTCGGCCTATGCTGCTGCAGGCAAGGTCTTGCCTGCCAGCTCTCAGGCATCCGAAAAGAGCGGCGCCCCCGATCGTTTCATCTCCTACGTCTGGCTCACCGGAGATCTCTTCGAGCTAGCTAAGGGATTCCCTACCGCTCAACAAAACTGGACCGGTACTCTCTTGTTGCCGCGCGAGCTGAACATCCGCACTATCCCCAACGTGGTTGACAACGAACTCGCCCGTGAGTCCCTGACATCGTGGCGCGTGGCCCGTGAGGGGTCTGGTAAGGTCGATCTTGAGACAATGGGAATCTCAATTGCCAGGGAGACTTACAGCGCTCTCACATCCGGCTCCAAGTTTGTCGAGTCTGGTAAGACCTTGTCCAAGGCTGGATCCGTGCCATTCAACACCTCGCCCTCGACCAAGTTCTTCGCTCTGACAGCCAGTATCTCTTTCCCGGCCTCTGCTCGTGACTCCGGTATTCAAGCTGGTTTCCAGGTGTTGTCCTCTGGTCTTGAGTCTACCACTATCTACTACCAATTCTCCAACGAGTCCATCATCATCGACCGCAGCAACACAAGTGCCGCGTCGAAGACAACTAATGCAATCCTCAGTAACAATGAGGCGGGCCGACTGCGTCTCTTTGATGTCTTGGAAAATGGAAAGGAAAAGATTGAGACTTTGGAGCTCACTGTCGTGGTGGATAATGGTGTACTGGAAGTCTATGCCAATGGACGCTTGGCTCTGGGCACTTGGGCTCGGTAAGTTTTTCTTCTTTTTTTTTCTCTGTGAGATTGGTCAACAACTAACAACATGCAGGTCTTGGTACGCCAACTCGACCGACATCAACTTCTTCCACAACGGTGTTGGAGAGGCGACATTTGGTAATGTGACGGTTTTCGAGGGACTTTATGACGCCTGGCCACAAAGGAAGTAAAAGACAACACTCCGTTATTGAATGGCCTCGGTGAGAGTCTCTGATGCAGTTTTTGTAAATACGGACACAAGAATAGTCGGCCGCCCATACGGCCTTTGTCCTTGCTGAAGTAAGACTTTAATAATTTGATCTAATTGGCCTAAGATGATATTACAGGTGTTACATATAAGAGCATAGCGATGTGTTTTAGATATTCTTTTCAGATGTCTTTCTAAATATATACGAAATCAGTAGAAATCATAGACCAACCATACAGAGGATTGCTTGATAAAGCCTCATGGGTAGGAAAGCTTTTCCCACTGCATTATGCAATTCCCCAGCAATCAGAGTCTGGGGTATCTCAGAATGAGAATGCGTATGAGGACTGGGTTGTAAAACAAGCGAGGATCAGCGATGGGATCAAGTACCAGGATCAATGATAATAATGAAGTATTCAGATATTTCAAGAATGCCTATATCGAATGCTTCACACTAGAGATAGCTTGTATTTCCTTTCTAACCCCTTTTTTAATATATATTTGTTCTTTCTGTTATAACCTCCTAAAAAGATAATAAACAAGAATAGGTGCCCACTTATACGGTCTTATCATATCATTTTAGTGGCCTTTTTGGATACCCTTCTCAGACCTTACAGGTGGATGGCGGGGGAAAAGGCTTAGCCTGTGAAATGAAATTTTCTATTTATAACCTTCGATAATATAACGTAGTAAGATATAATATGTACCATATACGAAGGCGAAAAGTAGCATAAACTATAGAGGGTGCTTCCGTTTATAAGCAGAGATGAATATATATAACTAGTTAGTTGTAGTAGTTTACGTATTGCGCTAGGGAGAGGCTAGACTAAATGAAGTCGTGTATCCTCTCCATCCTACTAGAACTAGCTAGGGCTATTACTTTCGTTAGATGCTCAATGAGGTTGTACTATGTTTAGACACATGGGAATATAAGTCGTAGCCTGGTATATCGACGCAAAATCCGATGTTTCATTTTAACATTCCGATGGGAAGAAAGCAATTTTAGTTGATAATGTTGTAACCAGCCTCACAGAAACAAACGGTCAAGCAATTTAGCACATAGTTCTAAGAAAAATTATTTTTAACTTCACAAAAGTAGCCGTTTAAGAGGAAGTTGAAACAGAAATACAATGGGGCGAGCTAATAACGCCATGGCAATGCTCTTCATCTAAAAGAAAAACAAGAAAATCAGACTTGGCCCTGCCTTTAGCGTTCAGTAGTGCTGACACTTTGTTGGGGGCGAGAGAATCGTTGAAGAGCCCACGCCAAGTGACTATGTAGATCTCATTGTTAGCGGTAACCAATTCTACAGATATCCACTTTAGCTTGACGATCTGAAGCCCAGACTTGCACAGCTTAACTCCACATTTAAGCCCCCGACATTTGGAGCCAATAAAACCACTCAGTACAGTATGTACAATATATCTTTTTGTCGGATAATTGGTCTCTCCTTCCCCCACATATCTAACAGCCAAGACACAGAGCTGTCAGTGCCTTCCAATTCAGCATCATCGACAGGCACTAACGACAGATATTCTATTCAAATTCCCTTAATTGGAATATGCTCAGTGACACCGAACATTATAGATCGTCTCATGATGTCATCTGACAGGGGTTGAATGGAGCCTCAGGGGTGTGAGGGCATCTGGGGCAAGTATAAAAGACCTCTGAATGGCATCTACAAGAATATCGAGAACAACAACCCCTCTGATACCTTCGACCCTGGAATCTCAATTTCCGCAAAACAACCATGCCTTCTCTCCGCAACTTTCTTCTTTGCCTAATGGCTACATCTACAACCGTCTACGCTGAGCGCTTGAAGGTCGTCTGGTCAAACGGTGACTTTTCAACAGTCTCCGGTCCCGCCGGAGGCAATACCAATGGCCACTACACAGGCTTCGCGATCCTGAATGAGGCCGGTGAAGCTGTCTACGACCAGGCCTATCCCGACGACCACTCCCCCTGTTACAACACCGGCGACGGCCGCGAGTTCACCATCGAGGGAGACTGCTGGGCAACCCCACGCAAGTTTAAGTGCAAGTCAGACTTTGGTGGTCACCCTGACACCTGCGAAGTCAAGGACGGTGATGGAAACAGTCTTGGTAGCGCCAAGGGACAGACGGATACAACTTTCATTGGTATCGCTATTGGTCAGGATGCGAGCTGTGTCGTTGAATTCGATTCTGACAGTGATGGCTGTCCTGTTGATGACGGCAACGGTCCGCTGCACGTTACCTCGGGCTAAATGACATTTGACAATTGCTTAGATGAGCGGGGCCACTTGTGAATGTTGAAACATGTGTTGATTATTAGGATATATGGATTCTGTATATATGAGCGTATTAGTGGGTTTCTACCCATGGAAATCGAAGACTGCCGTTTGGAGTAACAACAAACTCCCCAACGTGCCACATTGGCAACATATGAGAATATATTTGGCTCGTCTTGGGAATTCCGCTACCAATGTAAAAGACGAGTCAATACGATAGGTGATGTACAGAAAATATGTATTGGTGAGCAATGAAAGCGATCAAAGTCCAACTAACGCGACAGAAGTAGGGTGTTTATATTAGATCTAAAGCGGAGATCTATCTCCAAATAACACATTTTCCAGCCAAAGTCATGCCTGAGCAAGGTTGCCATGTTTCCAACGGCCTTGTTCTGCTGGTGGGCTAACCTTGTATTAAACCCATCATTTAGAGGATAGGTTGTGCAAGGACCTTTCTCACTTCCTCGAAGAATCGATCTGCATCACAGGTTGGCCAACATCACCAACTGATCAAATACCGGAGAAAAAAAAGACTTGCCCCAATGGCCAAATATTAGACGATAGCCCGAAGCTCTCTGTTCTGTGCCAGACGCGCGGCAATCAAAAGGAGACTACCCAGTAGCAAGGAGACCCCCGAATATATTGACAGGGAAAGATACCCATATTTTTCAACTAGAGCACCACTAATGGGCACATTTGCCATAGCCCTGCGATTCATATCAGCATCTCAAATTATTCTTTCAATAAATGGTGGTCATACGATAGAGCTGTAGAGCCCGACACAGTCCCGATTGCCAAACCAAGAGTGGTAGAAGTAGCAACCTGAGCGGCACAAGCTTGCTGGAGGGATAGAATGCCCTGCAGTTCTAGTTAATATTTGAAAGTTATTATCACTCGGGGATAACTCACTCCAGATGCAAAGCCGTATGCAGCGCACCAAATTACCAGACCAGCCACAGATGTCACCTTGGTCCAGCACAATGCAATAATCCCTGCAGATATAGTAGAGATGATACAACAGTTGAATTTTCCGTACTTGTCAGCAACAATTCCAGGGAGTACTCGGCCGGGGAACGAAGCGGCATTCACAATGGAAACTGTATAGAATGCCAGGGATGTCGAGAATCCTTTCTCAACTGCGTAGGAAGTTGTGTAGAAGAACGGCGAGAACATGCCGAAATATATGACGAACATCGCGAGACACAGTAGCTGCAGCGATGGCTTTCGCACAAGGGCCAGAGCCTCTGCCTTGTGACTCTGCGGTATTTCCTTTTGTTCAGTGGTATTTTCCTCACTTTGGTGGTTTGAATCGCGAGTCTCCACATTCGTTTTAGGAGTATCCGGAGATTTGGCAACTGCACAAGAAAAGATGAAGCAAGGAATCATGATAAAGCCGACAATTCGCATCGTCCAGGAAAACCCGATGCTAGGTTTGTTGATCAATCTGTCGATTGCAATGGGCCAGATAACTCCGCCGAGTGACGATCCCGCAAGAACAATCCCCATCGCCGCAGCGCGTTTCACTTTGATGTATTGTCCGACCAATGCGAGCATTGGCCATGTTGCCAACCCCATGGAAATACCAAGCACGACACCCTGGGCGAGCAGGAATTGATAGAACTCCTGGCATAGTGAGGTCATCATAAGTGCAAAAACACACCCGAATGAGCCAACATATACCATAAGCTGTGCAAGGAGGTATTAGTTGCTCTCCCAATGATTCAGGAAGAATACCCGTACCTTCGGTCCAAAAATATCAAGCATTGCTCCCGACCCCACAGATGAAGCAAACAGAAAAAATATTGAAATAGCCCCAATCCATGCGACGGTAGATGTAGAGCTTGAAGATAGCTGATTCTTTGTGTAATACTCTTGGAAGATACCGAATGAGTTCATAAAGCCCACTGTGCAAAAAGCACATGTGAAGGCGCCGAGTATTGAAAACCATGCTCGTGACCTAGAAGAGTTAGCAGTCAGCTATATTGTAGTTTGAAGCATAGTTCACCTACGTGTATTCAGTGGGAGGACTATCCTTCGATGACATGTTGCTGGTCAATGGGAATCTTGAAGCCAGGAAAATGAACAGACCAATCTGAGAATGCAATGAATCAAGGTTGAAGAAAAGGCATCACGGAACGCCATGATCTTTATAAGAAATCGAATAATTACGTTTACAAAGTAAAATAATCGCGCTCGGACTCTCCGGGCTACTGTGTAGATGCCCGGAGGCAGAATTAACGGATTGGGTTTAGCGTATCGGAGAGTCCGCGGAATCTCCGTGCGAACAACTACACACTGTCTCCTGCGCAAGATAAACGCTGATCACGCAATTATTTTCACTTTCGCTGTTCTAACTACTGTTAAAGTGTTTTATATGAGACTTACTACATGAAACGAAGACCTGATTCTGGACTTGTCACCCCAGGCTCGAAGAGACAGTCTCGACAAGACCCCGTTTCCTGCGAGTCCTGTCGAAAGAAGAAGCTAAAGTGCAACAGAGAGCTTCCATGCAGTAGCTGTTCTGCGCGGAGACTGGAGTGCAGCTATGGTGGCTACGGCTCGGGCACAACACCTGTGCAATCCCTGACCCAAACAGATCAGAGGCCCATGTTGCATAATCGCGTGTCTGAACCACCTCGGACCTTGCAATGGACTCCACGACAGGAGACGGAGACCCAAAGTCGCAATGGAAACGAGCCCCTTTTGACGGCCGATTGGCTTGAGACGATTGTTATGGGACACCGCGTTCCGAGTGCAGTTCCTGTCACGCTGAGGGCCGAGCTCTCCCAGAACCGGCAACCGGACCGCTCACCTTCACAACAAAATACCACACCTAGCGATCAATTTCCTCCGATGAGCGAACGGCTCGTATCTCACGAGAATCCGGCGACTATCCATCTACCGTCGTATCTACCACCGCTGGCAGAAGCCCTGAGTCTATTTCGGTATTACTGCAGATACCTAGACTTCCAGTATCATCTCATCATACCCAGTCATGTAGAACAACAAATCGAGACGATTTACGAGCATGTTGCGAGAAATGAGCCTATCAATTTGTCCCATACTGCGCTGTTGTTCGCTATTACTGCTGCCGCCCTATATTACCAACTCTTGATAGAGTCACCCGAGCAAGCAGAGCCATTCAGTCAGGAAAGTACGTTTTTAGCAGGAGCCGCATTGATTCAGAGCAATTATATCCCTTATCCCAGCCTCGAAGGACTGCAAGCGACTATGATCATTGGTCATCATCTATCCAATATGAACGTGCCCTCCTCCGTCAGTCCGTTATTCGTGCATAGGTCATTTGTGAGTCAAGCCACCAGCATGGGGCTTCATGTTGTGGACTGTCCTCGGGTAGTGACTGAACGCTCAGCGAATGAGTTTGATAAAATCGACGTTGAACTCAAACGACGGCTGTGGTGGGACCTGGCAACATACGACTGGTACGTTGTTAGCAGAGACCTTGCTGATACTATGACTGATAATATTTCAAGGTTGATAGGCTTTTTGAGCGGACCACAAGAGTGGACGTACTCAATCAACCCTAAGCATATGGTTGTACAACAGCCTCTTAACGTTGAGGATGAGGACATCGACCATAGCGAGAACGGTGTTCCTCTGTCTACTCCAACTGCAATGACATACAGTTTATGTCGGTCGAAGTTGGCTGTTGTTTGTCGTCAAATAGTGGACGAAATGGCATACTACCACTTTCATGAACAAGAGGTACCGTATGAGAAGATACTTGAGCTCGATCAAAAGCTTCACAAGATATGCACCGAGCTTCCCAGTTTCTTTCGCTTTGATCAAACCTCTCGGCGTGAATACTCAGCGCTATATCGTGAGCGGCCAACTCTTGCATGGCAGCGATCTCTGGTACAACAGGGCTACCACTCACGGTTCTGTCGGTTGCATCGCCACTACTTAGTGCGTGGGGCAAAGGATCCTAAATATTCCTATTCGCATGTCGTAGCTCTTCGATCTGCGCGCAAGGTGCTGGAAGTGAAACGCATCATGGATGAGGAAGAACCTGTGTTCACACCGCACAGCTCGGTCATATGGGCAGTCATGCACCACGTGTTCATGGCAGCTACCATCCTTCTGATAGATGTGTGTTTCAACTGGGATGACATTCTAGCCGAGAAGCGAAAAGAGGAAGTACTCGACGCTTGTCGAATGCTCAGCCGGGCACAACAATCCTCGCCCATCGCACGTGAAGGAATCAAGGCCATGATGGGGATCTTGCGAAAGCATTGGAAACACGAGAAAAGAGTAAGCTCTCGCGAATTGCAGGAGCTTTCTGCATCTTCGAATTCAAGTTCCACAACTCTCAATACCTCACAGCCGGGTATTCCCACGCCTGCTTCATTGTATCCCAAGAGCATCACATTTCCTTCAGAAATTTCCAATAGTCAATCGTCGATGTACCCTTCAGAGTATGCATTGCTTAGTCCATTGCCTCTTGAAGACTTATGGGCGGAGATGCTAGACAGCAGTGCTAATGTTGAGCTGAGCACACCAGACTGGACAAACTTGCTTACCGAGTTGACAAATGTTACTTTTCCAGGCGAGTAATATAATGTCTGGTTGAGTGGAAGATGAACATGCGACATATATGATTTGGTCGATCATGAGGCTCTGCTAGAAACTTAAGGCAGTAAGGCACTCACAGATACCCCTCTATTTTGATACTCCAAAAGCAAAACAATCCTTTACGTCCAACCATCACCCAGACCAAAAAACACCCACCCTCGAAGACATGTCCGATAACACCTCAAATCAGACAAAGGCCAGTATGCAACCTGACATTCAATCAATCGTCGACCGTATCAAGACTGGAAAAGTCACGCGAATTGTTGTCTTGACTGGTGCTGGAATCAGCACTGGCGCCGGGATCCCAGATTTCAGATCTCCAAACATAGGCCTATATGATAAGCTCGCTCCACTGCGGCTCCCATACCCAGAGGCAATTTTTC